TAATGATGTTTTGTAAAGTAATACTTTACAAACAATTTTTTCACTTAAAAACTGAAGTGAGTGGAAAGTTGGAATTTTGAGGACTTTTTCCTAAAGGCTTAATGTAAAAAATACTAAAAACTCAACGCGATTGAGTTATTATTAATGGAGTGGAGTTATGACTTTTTTAAAATAATGATGTTTTGTAAAATAATACTCTAAAAACAATTTTTTTACTCAAAAACTAAAGTGAGTGGATAGTTGAAATTTTGAGGACTTTTTCTTAAAGATTCAATGTAAAAAATACCAAAAACTCAAAGCGATTGAGTTATTATTAATGGAGTTATGATTTTTTTTAAATAATGATGTTTTGTAAAATAATAAATAATATGTACTCTACAATAGTTATTTAAGCAACAACCTTTTTTCACGAATGTGAATTTTGACGCACGAGCCGAAGGCGAGTGCGACAATCACATGAGTGAAAAAAAGGGCTTTACGCACGTATTGCATACACATTTTTTTCTACTACCAATCAAATATGTGTAAAAAAATAAATTTCTACAAATACTTTACGCACTAGTGCGTGAAGAATTTTCACTTTATGCACTAGTGCGTGAAGTAATTTACCAGAAAAATGCCAAATTGACAGTGTTGACATCTGTCATTGACATTACTTTACGCTCTAGTGTGTAAATTGAATTATTTTACGCACTAGTGCGTGAAGTGAAATTTTACATCTTGTGAATAGTGCGTAAAGTGAGTACTTTACGCATGGTAATAAAAAACAATTTTTTTACTCAAAAACTGAAGCGAGTGGAGAGTTGAAATTTTGAGAACTTTTTCCTAAAGATTCAATGTAAAAAATACTAAAAACTCAAAGGGATTGAGTTATTATTAATGGAGTTATGACTTTTTTAAAATATTAATAATAATAATAATAATAATAATAAGCCTTTATTTCCAACAGGAATAAACCCAATTACAGGAAAAAACACATACAATTTAAAGAAAAACTATATAGAAAATCGTGCACTGAGCAAAAAATAATAATAATAATAATAATAATAATAATAATAATAATAAATGCAACAAACAAAAGAAAAACAAAAACATTTTTTTTTCACCAATGCAAGAAACCTAAAGCTAATAATCAATCAATGGAAAGAGCATCAACAATCCGCGACAGCCTATCATGATTAATATCACATTCGCCCGACACAGTATTGTAAACAGCGCACATTAGATACACTGGGCTCTGTGATAAGACGTTAGATCTAGCTGTGCACACATGGAATGTCCGACTATATCTGCCCCAATGCGTGGAACATGAAACAACACCTGAGCGACTAGGTATGGGCAGTCTATAATATGATGCAAGAGATTATATAAAAACTTCACTGCCTGAACCTTTCTTCGGTCGGCCAAAGATTGAACGCTGAATCTCTCAAGTAGCTGATGATGATCCACGCCCCCACCATCTACCTTAACTGCCAAATATTTAAGAAATAGTCTCTGGGCAGTTTCAATAGATTTAACATGACAATCATATATAGGACTCCACACAATTGCACCATACTCAAGCTTTGACCTTACAAAAGTGTAATACAAAAGTTTAAAGGTGAATAGATTTGAAAAATGTCTGCTGTTTCTGAAAACAAAGCCAAGCGTCTTGAGGGCTGATGCACTTGTTGCGTCAACATGAGGTACAAAAGTTAAACGGCTATCGAATATAACTCCTAAATCCTTGATTTGATTGAGCCGAGCCAATATAGTACCTTCAATGGTATAGTCAAATACAACAGGAATTTTTTTTCTGTGGAAACTGATAATATTGCACTTCTCAACATTCAAAAGAAGCCTGTTTTCCTTGCACCAATTATTCAAAATATCCAGGCACGACTGTAACGTAATACAATCCTGGGTAGTAGTAACTGTGGCAAAAAGCTTAAGGTCGTCGGCATATGCAAGCTTCGAACAAGGCATTGTCTCAATAAGATCGTTTACAAAGATGTTAAAGAGGAAAGGGCCCAAGTTAGACCCTTGCGGGACACCAGATGAGGAATTGAATAGGAATGATCACACTGTACAAACTGACTTCTATCCAACAGGTAAGACTTAATCAAATTCACCAGCCTATCCGAAAAGCCCAAGGCGTGCAACTTATTGGTCAAAATATAGTGATCAATACGATCAAAGGCCTTACGAAAATCGGTGTATACTACGTCGACTTGGCCGACACTGTCCAAAGTAGTGCACAAATTATGGGATAAACAGGACAAGTTGGACATGCATGACCGGCCACTCATAAAGCCATGTTGCTCCTCAGACAGCAAGCCCCTAACCAATAGATAAAGTTTATTGTGTATAACCATTTCGAAAATCTTAGAGAAATTACAGAGTAATGATATAGGTCTATAGTTAGTTATTAATGAGCGATCGCCTTTTTTGTGGATTGGAATTACCTTTGCCACTTTCCATCTTGAAGGAAAACAGCTGGTTTTAAGGATGAGGTTAAAAATAAATTGCAGAGGGTCAGCCAGAACACCAAGGCAATCTTTAACTATAAAACTTGGTATAGAGTCCGCTCCCGCAGTTAACTTGTTATTGAGGCTTTTACCCGCTCTGATTATATCATTTAATTCAATAAATGGTAAGTCAATGTTACTATTACATAATGGAATTGACTCACCGTAGCTTGGAACGGACTCAGTGTAGACGCTGTGAAAAAATGTGCCAAAAGCATTAACTATGTCCTGCGCATTTGAGTGTTGTGCATTTTCAAAATGCATCTCGCCTGGAATTGTGGTCTGGTTTTTTTTACTCTGGATAAACGGCCAAAAGGTTTTGGGATCATTTTTGATAGACAGCTCAACACCTTCAATGTACCCAATATAGGCTTTTTTAATTTGAGACTTCACTAGTTTACGAAGTGTGTTAAACTGTTCAGAGCAAAGTTGAGTTCGGAATTTAAGGTACCTTTTACGTGCAACTTCCTTTTTGCGGATGTTATTAATAATCTGCCGCGTATAATATGAGGGATATCTCCGACTCCGTTTTATTTTCAGGGGAACACAACATTCAAAAATGTGGTTAAGAACACTGTACATCATCCACACCAGTCGCGGCATACACAGCAGACCAATCAGCATTAAGGACAGATTCGTACAATAAAGGGAAATTAGCCTTTCGAAAATTAAACTCTTTTGGTGGATATTTGTTTAGCGCAAAGTTGTTAACATGGGTAAATGAAGCATCAAAATCAAAACAGAGAGACGGATGGTATGCATCTTCATTTACAAGAGGAACGTCATTCCTTACAACATTACAGGGAACATTAGACAAGACAAGATTCAGCATTCGGTTGTGGCTATTTAGAATGCCATTATATTGGGAGAGGTTAGATATGGCCATGAAATTCTTCACAATTCTACTCTTTTGATCTACTGATTCGTCGTTAACGAAAAGGGGTGCGTTAAAGTCGCCTACGATAAGGATTTTTTTTATTTTGGAGACGGTTTTGTGAAACCAATGTGTCGAAAAAAAGTTCCACATCATCATTGGGTACTGACGGCGGTATATATAAAACAAATATGAAAATAATGAAGGATTCGATAACCGTTTCACAGCAGACAAAGTCTATAAGTGGTACACTTGACTCCAAACCCGGCAGTAAGACCAGGCGTGATTTGAAGCAAGTGGAGATGCCAAGAAGCACTCCTCCTCCCCTAGTGGAGTCCACACGGTTGAACTTGCGGTCACTGCGATATACATCATAAAATTCTGGGATAATTTCGGAATTTCCAATGTCGGGCATTAACCATGTCTCCGCAACAGCGATAATGTCCATTCCAGACGCCGCCACAGTTGTTTGGAAGTCCAGGATTTTTGTGTTTAAGCCGCGAACGTTTTGATAGCAGCAGTGTATAGTTGAAGAAATGGGATTACCCCTGTTGGATGCATCTAGTTTTCCGATATTGCGTTGTTAATTTTCACTATCGTGGGAATGCCCCTGATGTGCTTAATTCTTAAGTCTACCTCACCAGCGCTTTTACGCTGCATCAACTGTTCCTTAACACTCTTGTAAAACTGCATTTGTTTCGGGGTTTTGTCTGAGGCAACTGTAAGATGCTCAAGCCGTGGGTTATTCCTAATTTTGTAGCACTGCTTCAACACACCGACGACAGTGCCACTATCTTTGCAGCATATTTTCAAAGGACGTGGACGGCTGGCAGAGTTTTGAGCACGGCCGAGACGCGATACGTGCAAAATATTTGATAAGTCAAATGCTGGACACACACTTTGTCGGATACTACCAGCAGATTCCATAAATAATGATATTTTGTAAAGCAAGACTTTACAAACAATTTTTTTACTCAAAAACTAAAGTGAGTGGAGAGATGAAATTTTGAGGACTTTTCCCTAAAAATTCAATGTAAAAAATACTAAAAACTTAAAGGGATTGAGTTATTATTAATGAAGTTATGATTTTTTTAAAATAATGATGTTTTGTAAAGTAATACTCTACAAACAATTTTTTTACTTAAAAACTAAAGTGAGTGGAAAGTTAAAATATTGAGGACTTTTTCCTAAAGATTCAATGTAAAAAATACTAAAAACTCAAAGCGATTGAGTTATTATTAATGGAGTTATACCCTGTACAAATAGGAAATTCTTAACCTAAATTTATTTGTGTGTTCAAGAAGCGACATACGTTTAGTCACTAGAACGACTGGTACTTCTACATAGGTATTAAAAATTCTATATGTGCCCGATCATTTTAAAAAATCAGAAATTATTCCCATAGTCAAAGCACAAGATAAGCTTTTAGCTTCAAACTATAGACTCATTTCCCTAATTTCAAATATTGCTAAGGTTTTTGAGAAGATCATCCGTTTTAGGCTGTGTAATTTTATAAAGAAAAATGGGTAAAAAGAGAAGAAATAAACATAAAAACTTTCAAAAACAAGATACAAATTACAAATTATTCAAAAAATGATTGAGATTTTTTTGTTTTCTAGGCCACCATTAGGAATGCGCCCACCACCAGGCATGCGCCCACCACCCCCAATGATGATGATGCACCCACCAATCCCACCTCCAATGCGAGGCGGCTTCAGACCGATGCGCGGCATGAACAAACCACCTGGCCGATTTCCAAGAGGATCGATGCGCGGCAGAGGCGGCAAAATCCTGAAACGCAACCGCCCCAGCATGAAAACAATCGACCTGACACTCTCATGGGTGACAGAAGCAATGAAGGCGGAATTCACCAAAAAAGAAGAATTACTTGCGAAAGCGAAAACCAGCCAGACTCAGGAAGATTGGGCCAGTTACAGGGAGCAAAGGGAGAAGTGCAGTAAATTGTATCAGGAGGCCGAAAAGGCCAACGGGGGGCAGTTGGGGGAGGTGCGTATCCCACAGCTAATGCCCGAGAGTAAATTTAAAAGAACTACGGCACCTATTGATTATACAGCAGATGTCCACTTATAGGTATTTCTCAACAACAAGTAGGCAAATTTTGTTTGTTGTTTTTTTGCATTATCTCACACCTCTGATTTTTGTTAGATGAGGAATACCTATAATAAAAGGCTGCCACACACTAATAATTAACAAAAACCAGAGGTGTTATTATTATTATTATTAAAAAGTCAAGAAAATTTGTCTAATATGTTCACTTTTTTTTTTTATAAATTGATTGGGGTCACTTTTAAAAAATGCAAAAATTGTTTGGTTTAAAGGTGGCCCCCCTTATAAATATGTGGTTGATTACTGCACAAAAAAAAATCTAAAATTGTTGGGTATCTTTACAGGAAAAGTCAGAGGGCGAAAATATTGAAGCAGTAACTGTCAATCTGCAACAGCAGGAGCTATAAAAAAGGGACACTTGTCTTTATCTTGAAAAAATATAATTTTGTACATAATAATGAATGGCTCGAGTATCTGATATAATTTAATTTGTAATGTTTGTGACAATTTTTTTGTATTATTGTAATCGCATTTTCTAATTGTTTAAATGTTAACAATAAACCTGGTACCTAATAATAATTGCAAAAAAAAATTATACAAAACAAGTACCTTTTTTTTTTTTTTAAAAAATTGTAGTTTTAGTTTAAAACAAGAAAAAACATAAATATTTAATAAATAAATATACTAAAAATTCTATATATTTGTATTATAATGTCCCTCATATTTTAAAGTCTAGTGTTGTAAAACATGTATTTCTATCCATTAGAAGATAGAAAGACATACATAAAATTGTTTCGAGGAACAAACAAACAAAAAAAAAAAAAAATGTGTGCAGGTATCCAACATTGCCAAATTTACTCGAAAGTAAAATTTTATCAAGAAACTAAAATGTTTTCTTTTGATGGAGAAAAAAAAATTTCCCGTAAGTTGCAACTTGATTTCTTTTATTTTTATTATTAAAAAAATAGTTTTTATTATCTGTGGGCTGGGATTCTGTAACAAATAGAGATATTTTCACTATCTCTCTCTATTGACATCTTCTCTCTAGTGATTTTCAAAAGAGAGAAGAAGACAGCAAATGTCATATCCGTTACAGAATTTCAACCACTTGAAACCAAAAAAAATATATATATATCTGTATTTTCCAATAGGTAGTCTATAGTTTTGTTTGTGATTATTTTCTTTTTTTTTTTTTTTTAATTTTTAAAATCTTCTCTCAAACTAATAAATGTTTTTCCTTAAGGCGAACTTCAACGATTATATACATGAAGAAGATGAAGAAATAGATTATTTTGACGATGAAGATACTACTACTTTATCGTGTGATACTTGTGAAAGAGATTTTTACTCCGAAGAGCAATACAATGTTCACATGTCTGAGCATAGAACTTGCAATTTGGAAGGTTGCACTTTTACAGCTCACGAGAAAATTATTGAAAAGCATATAAAAATGCAACATTTGACTGGTAACTAATGATAGATTCGTAATTTTATGAATTACTTCAATTATTTTTAAGGTCTATATGAGAAAATCAAAAAACTGGATAATCCGGAAGAAATTGCTGCCTGGATTGAGGAACGGAAAAAGAAATATCCCAGCAAAGAGAATGTGGAAAAGAGATGGCAGCAACAAGAAGCTTTGCTTAAAAAAGGGGTCAGATTGCAGAAAAATAGTAATAAGTTTGGCAAGGATAAATTTAGATGTGAGTATTTAAATAAGTATTTTTTCTATTGAATCTTAACCTAAATAGCCTTAAATTAAAGTGACTCAGTTTCAGGAATTACAAATTATACGCTTAGAAGTTGAATCAAAACTTGAAAATAACGTTTAAAATTATTGAAGAAAACTGAAAAATGAATTTGTAAAATACTACACAGTGACTTGAAACTTTCAGGAATTATAAATTAAAGTCTCTTTTAATGTTTGAGGAAAACAAAAGTTATCACAAAAGGTATAATAACGTTCTGACGAAATGTGTTTCTAGTATTGAGTTGATGGATTATCTCCTGCTTATAATAATCTGTTTCTATCATAAAATGAGTTGCCGCTTATATGTAGAGTTGGTTTGAAGTCAGTAATTTGCAATCACGAAAAAACAGTTCAGAAGGATATCATCTATTTTTGAAATACATTACATTACAGCTACATTCATAGTTGACATAATAGTTTTTTGGGTATTTCTCTAGAATTGATTCTATTAATGACAGATATATCGTCTTAAGAATTTTAATTATTAAATACCTATTATTCGTAGCTCGTAAAATTTATAAATCAACTTTTTTATTTTGGAGGTTACATATTCTATGTGGGTTTTCCAAGTTAATTTTTTATCCATGAATACTTCAAGATACTTTAGACTGTCTTTTCTTTTGCTAGTGGACTGACATTTGCAGCTTAAGGTTTTCATGTCACAAAAAGAATTATAAAATTTGAGTTCTTGAACTTTGGAAAAGTTGCCTGGGTTAGAGTGAATGTCATGAAGTGAGTTTTGTTAATATTAAGTGATAGCAAGTTAAAATCTAACCATCTTTTTATGTATGTTATTGCTAATTCTGCTTTCTCAATAGTTGATTGCCATGTTTTGCCTTTTACTATAGTAACACTATCATTTGTAAAACAGAAAATCCCCTCTCCTGTCAATACAGAAAAGATACCATTAATATTTACAGGGTATCCCAGGGAAAACAGTCTACCTCGTTTTTCTCGATTTGAAACGAAAATCTGGAAAAATTCTCAGATATGTCGATTTTTGATTTCAGGGGGAAATATTTTTGAATCTTTTTCATCCCAGTAGCTTCAACCCCCTAGCTAGGGGAAGAACAACCTCCCAAATTTAAATAGGGGATGTGTCATACCTCTTTTTGACGGTCTCATCGAGTTCTTCATGACCCCAGAATTTCGTCTCATTATTTTCATCCGTAACGAAGTGATAGCTTGTCAAAATCTTGGAAATGGGCTATTGTTTTAGTAAGAGTAGAAGCGGTGATTATCTCCCTCTGGATTAATGAAAATACTTAAAATTTACAATTCACATGTACACGGTTATTGGTTATAAATGTCACCCCCCTCTATCTTTTTTATTTGACATTTTGGAAAAAAGTCTCCCAAATAAATATTTCATAGTTGAAATTAAATTTTTTGAAAAACCCACTTTCGCATATACAGGGTGTTTCAGAAAAGCTGGTCGTGCTCCAAATTTCTTATTTCAGATGGAATACCCTGTATATTATTGGATATTCGGATTCCATGTAAAATTCTGAGCAGATTCCATGTGATATATCCTATACCTAAGTCCAACCGTTTTGGAAATATTGACAGTTGAAAATTGATTTTTTTGCAACTTTGACAGGCTATAAAGCCTAAACGGTTAATTTTAGAGCAAAACCGATTTTACATTTTTATCTTGGATTTTAAAAACTACGAGTTGACCCCAATATTTGACATCAACTTTGAATTTATTCCATGAGTGAAAGTTCCAATTAAATTTAATCTTCGGTTAAATTCAAAGTTGGTGACAAATGATAACTTACGAAACTCTTAGAAAAAAATGTAATATCGGTTTTGCTCAAAAGTTAACCGTTAAGGTTTTACAACCTGTCAAATTTACAAAAAAAATCATAACTGGCTAAAATTCCCAAAAAATTCGAAATGGGGCACGGCCCCTAAATCACCCCCAAAAGTACATTTTCTGAGTTTTTTGCTATTTTCTTAAAATCAACAAATTTTTCGAAAAATTTGCAAGAAACCTTTTTTGTAGAGCACAAAATTTGCAATTTTTTGGTATGACACATTTTATTATTTAAATAAGCTTAAGATATAAGATAGTATAAAAATATAAAAAAGTAAGATTTGAATTTGTATTGGTCTTATTTAGTGACATTTGCCTATATTATTTAACTGGTGTTTACAATTCGGAATATTTATTGCAATAACCAATCAAAGGCCGGGAAAATTTAATTTTTAAGCCAATTAAGAATCGGAAATATTCGAATGTCAAATTAAGCCAATCAAGAACCGGGAATATTTAAAAATTGAATTTAAAAGCAAATCAAAAGTCGGGAATTTACAAATATTGAATTTTTAAGCCAATCAGAAGCCGGGAAAATTAAAAAATTGAATTTTCAAGCCAATTAAGAATTGGAAATATTCGAACATTGACTTTTAAAACGTCAAATTAAGCCAATCAAGAGCCAGGAATATTTGAAAATTGAATTTTAAAGAAAATCAGAAGCCGGGAATTTATAAATATTGATTTTTTAAGTCAATCCGAAGCCGGGAAAATTGAAAAAATTGATTTTCAAGCCAATCAATAACTGGAAATATTCGAACATGGAATTTTAAAACGTCAAATTGAGTCAATCAAGAGCCGGGAATATTCGAAAATTGAATTTTAAAGCAAATCAAGAGCCGAGAATTTACAAATATTGAATTTTTAAGCCAATCAAAAGCCGGGAAAAAAAAAATGAATTTGTAGGCCAATTATGAATCGGAAATATTCATATAATCAAATTAAGCCAATCAAGACCCGGGAATATTTGAAAATTGAATTTTTTAGCAAATCAAGTGCCGGGAATATTCGAAAATTGAAAAGTACTGTTGTCCCTTGTGGAATACCATATGTAACATCTTCATAATTACTCAGATGCTCATCTATTTGTACAGATTGCTTTCTTCCAGTGAAGTAGCTTTTAAATAACTTAAAAGTCGAGGGGTCAACCACTTCCCAAAATATGTGCACACTTGGCCCGAATTATCGAATACAATACTACAAAAGGTTTCAGGATTACCGGATTAGATAATTCTGAAAAATCGAGTGGTGTTCAAAAGGTTATACAACGAACTAAACTTTAATACTTTAAAATTTAAAAAAAATTCTATAATATAATTTGCTATAAATGCCACCAAGCGCGATAATCCCAAAAGGCTTATCACTTATTAAGCTTCTCGTGTCATATGGGAATAATGTACAGTGAGTTGTATAACCTCCGGAATACCTCGAAATACAAGGCATTCTCGTCGAAGTACGCGAAATCCTATGGAATTATTGTTGAATTACGCGAAATACCCTCGAATTACCATGCGAAGTCCCGCAATACTTCTAAAAAATTTATCGTTAAAAACGATTCTTTTTGCAAATCGCAGTGAAGTATTTTTGCTCGGATTCTTGTGTCTTTTCATATGATGGATTTTATTTGGACACACAGGGTAGACAATCAAATCAATAGTTAGTGATGCTGAAAAAGGTGATTGTTAGTTCAACAATGCTGTTAGGTACAGGGTCATCCAACGAGGACTGAACAGTGGCAATTTTTGACTTTCCCTGTATTTTTTAGAAAATCCAAAATAGCCAATTGGAATATTTTTTTCTGGAGAATTCAAAAATGGTACCAAAAAATCGTCTGAACCAAAAACCAAAGAGTTACGCCATGGATGAACTGTTTCTTAAATAGAATGCCGTGTTTTTTTGTATGATTTTTGGAAAAGTTTCATTTTTCACGTCTATTCTGTTGAACATACATAGTTGATATTCCGATTGCTGTTTTTATTTTAATGTTTTATGCTTAATTATTTTAGCTAGACCTCTCAGATTTAATAGGTGATAAAGGTATAATCTTTGTATTTTGTTGCCATATATTAAACAGGTAAATTAATAAGAATAAAACATTAAAATAAAATAAAAACAGCTATCGGAATATCAAATATTTTCATATATAATATCACAAGAGAAAAAATTTTGTCTGCAAAATTTTCGAAAGGTATGAAAGTTTGGGTTAGTTTGGGTTAGCAACAAACTTGAATAAAACCTTGAGAACAATTTTGCCTACACAAATTTTTCTCGAGTGGTATTCGTCATGACTATTTCACGTAAGATTTTGAAAATAAATAGATTGCAAAATTATGAATAAAAACTTCAAATTAAAAATACCAGTTTGACAATGTCAAAAGATGATCGCTGAAATACCATGTTGTTGGTATTGTCCAGGTAGCATTATTGTCAGGTGAATTCCGAATTTATTGCTGGTGTAATACACTCTAGTGAAATAGTCAACAGAATAGATGTAAAAAAATGCAACTTTTCCAAAAATCATATGAATAACAGGGTGTCCCATTTAAAAAACAGCTCATCCATCGCGTAAGTAACTCTTTGGTTTCATGCAATATGATTTTGAATATTTTAATTTCAGGCTAGCAAATTTCATTGATATAAATATGTACTTATCACATGTAGACTGGAATTTTATATATAATAATGATGATATTAATGTGGTAGTCGAATTGTTCTATAATGTACTAAATGTGGCAATTGAATTGTTTGTTCCAAGACGTAGGGCTAAAAACCTAAAATTTCCCACTTGGTTTAGTGATGATTTAAAGAAACATGTTTTGATGAAGAAGGTTGCGCATAAATCTTACAAACAGTCCAACTCATTAGTCGACTATAAGAATTTATCAAACCTTAGGCAAAAATGCAAAGAACTAGTAAAAGATAGCCATATTAATTATATAAATGAACTCGAGAATAATATTCAATCCAAAAGGGACTTTTGAAGATATGTAAATTCCAAAAAGGATAGTACTGAACTGCCTAAATATATGTTTTATGGTGAGGAGAAATCGGACTGCCCTCAAAAAATTGCTAATTTATTTGCGTAACATTTCTCGTTGGCATATGTAAATCATAGAGAGAAATACATTGATTTC